AGCACGACCAAGTGCAGAGCGCAGTGGCGCGCGTGTGGGTGTGGCCCAGCCAGCGACTCCTTGATCGACGCCGTCCGCAGCCACTCCACTGGCGCCCGCGCGGCGTGCATGAGTACGTACGCAGCTACCGCTAGCACGGTCAGACGCGACTACCTGTGGCCTGTGGGTAGATATGCATCGTTGGCTGGTCGCACATCCAATGATCAGACCAAACATCACCCAACAGAAGCTCAGTAGTTTTCATCCACTAGAATGTCCAAACGAAACAGCCAAGCTACAAAGTTGTCTCTGGCCTCCCCCATGACAGGCCCGTAAACAGTAACTTGTGTCCATGTTTCATTGTTGTGTTTAGAGGCCAACTTAATTACTACTACTTCCATCCTGGTTTACTAGTTCCCTTTCTATTTTGTACCCGAATTTTGATTTTAGATTAACAAATAAAATGTTAATGCATGTCACAATGATAATATCACTTGAAATTACGTTCAAATACAAATCCAACGATTTAATTGTTGGTGACATGCACTGACATTTTGTTAGTTCAATTTATGATAAAAAAAATTGACACAAAATAGGAAGTGTGCCAATAAACTGGACGGAGGTACTAGTCCAAAAGGCTGGACATCAATGAGAACCCCATGCAGCCTGCAGAGTTCCAAATCACAAGGATACCACCAGAAGACCCGGGGATGCGCTGGCAGCAGAGTTGCTAAATCTCTTGGGGCAGAAACCCTTGATAGATCTTGCATCAAAATGCTGCATTTTGGTTTCTTGCAAGCACACCATAGTACTACTCTGACTTTATTCAATTTTTTCCATGTCATTTAAGGGGAAGGTGGATTAATTTTAACCATGCCAGATGGATTTCCAACCGAGTTTTAGCGGATATTCTCGTATGCGATCATGGATGGCATGATGAACTTTCTCCATGAATTTCAAGCGGCGACATGTCACTATATAGTCACAACTTGCGGCAACTATCTTGCTCCCTAAACATAAATAGGCCATGATCATTAGATGATTTAGACCCAATTGCCTCCTAACTATTTCTGAATACTCGCGAAGGTGGCAACAATAAGATCTAGGGTTAATTAGATAAATGCCACTCCAATTATGGCGATTCATAAAAATACCATTGCAATTTCCAAACTTTGAAAAATGCCACTGCAAATTTTGCAATCTTTGAAGAACACCACTCCAGACTTCAAAAAATGCCACTGGAAGTGGCATGGAATGGCATTTTTCAAAGTTTGGAAATTGCGGTGGCATTTCTCAGAATCGCCATAATTGGAGTGGCATTTATCAAATTAACCCTAAGATCTAAGCAGGTTCATTACCACGTGGTTCATCCGAGAAAGCATCCTCGAAGGATTTCTAATATTACATTCACAAGATCCATAAGAAAAAAAGATGGGAGTAGTTATTTTGAGAATTGATTTTGAGAAGGCAGACAATAAGGTTAAAACAATAAAAAGTGGTGGTTTCTTTTCAAACCCTCGGGACGAAAGGATTTTTACTTCTTTCTGACGTAAGTGCATGGAATTATTTATATTATGTCAAAGTGCTCTATATCATGATAACTTAGGGATATATTTATAAACAAAGAAAGATCTCCGCAAAGGGGATCCTCCGTCCTATATCTCTACTATTAAAGGGCAATATGTCGTTTGCTTCCTCGCCTTTAGGTTTTTTTCTCTCCTTTGATTACACCCCTTCCAACAGATTTACTGTCAATTTTAATTGTCCGGTATCAAATCTGCTACCTTTCGTAATATGGATTATTATTATTATTATTATTATTATTATTATTATTATTATTATTATTATTATTATTATTATTATTATTATTATTATTATTATTATGTTGGCAAATTGGAAAAGTACTAACCCTAGTAATTTATTTCCAATTTTGCCTTCCCAACATCACATCCCCTATCAATTCACATCCCCGCTTATTGATTTATTTCCAAACTTGTTTGCCCGACATCACATCTCCTTCCGTCAGTAATATGAACACTAGTTCTTTTTTTTGGCAAATTGGAAACGCGGTACTCCCACTGATTTAATTCCAGTTTTATTTATCCAAAGTGTGTGTGTGGGTGACAATGGAAGGGGGGTTGTGACCGAATGAGCCACTGAGATATGGGGATTGAGGAGGCGGAGATGGTGAGTGAAAGGTATACTGGAGAAACAATTGATATGGACCACAAAACTATGTATGCTCCCGTTGCAACGTACGGACAATTAGCTATTTTTTTAGAATTTGATACGCCAACAAATTTGATTGATAGAGCGTAGTCAGAGAGTCTAATTCATAGGATGGTGCCTCATCTTGTTGGTGATTGATTCATCCAATCTGGTATAAGCCGATTAAATCATTATATTTATGGTCGACGACCTAAGAAAACAAAGAATATAGTACTTTTAAACTAAAACCACGACAAGTATAATTTTTGAAAGGAGGGAGTGTTGCCTATTTGAGCAACACACGGTTCAGAAAAATATTATAAGAGTGAGATTTTGTACTTCACGAAGGGACAGGGATGGCGTTGGAGGTCAATCGACTAGAGGGGTGAATAGGGCATTATGAAGTTTCGTTCAATTTTTTGTTAATCATGCAAGAATAAAGCTTACAACTCTGCCAAGTGCTCCTACTAAAAAGACGGCGTCCTCGGTGCTAGATTTGAAGATGTTGGTCGTCTAGTTGCTGCTTGAGTTGCTTCCCTGGTTGGCAAGTTTAGATGTGTTTTTCTTCATTTGGGTCGAGCATCTCATGTCTCCCTGCTTCGGCAACCATGTTCACGTCTCTTGCGTTCGTGCCATGCGTTGCACCATCACTGTACTCACTCTAACTTCTATCAATGAAATCACGCAAATTTGTGTATTCGTGAAAAAAAAATCCTACTAAAAAGAATTAGAACTAAGCTACAAACATGTTTATTTATAAGTGTGTGCTTTTGTTGCATCACTTGTACGATCGCTGAATTTTGCACCAATTACGTAAAACACATAGAACAATACCTTGGACTAAATCCAAAGAACCATCTGCCCATGTGAGCACCGGTTTTGTGGCGCGTAAGGCTTGGTGTAGGCGTGTACCTGTAGGGACAGCCCGGTGATGGCCGGCCTTCACGCACCGACTCCACCGGCGTGACGGTCGAATCGGCTGCTCTTCTTTAAGAGCATCTCCAACAGGCGCGGCAAAACGCGTGCCCGCATGGTAAAAACAGTTTTTCGCGCGCGTCGGTTGGTTCCGCGCGTTCCAGCGGTGGCGGGAAATTACCGCGTGCGGGAAGCGTTTGCGCGCGTGCGGGAGAAAGCGGCATGCGGCGCGGTAGATTTGACGCGCCGCTTCACGCGCGCCTATAAAGTTTCGCGCTTCGCCACACACACAGAACAGCCACGCGCCCTCCTCCTCGCAACCTCTCCCTTCGCCGCTTTCTGCGCCACCATCGCGCCACCATGCCGCCGCGCCGCCGGGGTGCTTCGGGCTTTCGCGGCGTCCGCGAGCGCCCCAACGGTGGTACTCCGCCGAAATACGGTCCGGCGACGTCCGGCTCGGCCTCAGGACGTTCCGGAGCGCGCGCGAGACGGCCCGCGCGTACGACGCGACGGCGTGGCGCTTGAAGAGGCCCCGGTCGCAGATGAATTTCCGGGACGTCTTCATGCGCGAGGAGGCGCAGCGCCTCGTCCCTCCGTCGCGTCTCATCACGGACATGGACCGTACCGACCACTCTCGGCGGCAGCGCCGTCTCCTCGTCGCCGAAGAGGACGAGCGAGCCATGGCGGAGTGGCGCCGTCGCCACCCAGAGGACGTCGACGCCGAGCGTGCCTACTGGGCGGAGAGGACGGCAAGGCGCCGCTCGGAGCGGGCGGACCGGCGTCAGCGGAAGGCAGTGGCAACGAGCAGTGCGACATCGTCTCCGCAGATGGGAGGTCGTTCTTCACCTCAGACGATGAACGTTGGGACGGCATATGGCTCTCAACCTCGGACGACACCGACGAGAGTGATGATGGTGATGATAGCGACTTGGAGTAGTTTTCTATCTATGTATACCGTAGTAGTTTCTATCTATCTATCTATGCCGTAGTAGTATCTATCTATCTATCTATGTCGTAGTAGTTGCACCGATGTAAAATATCTTTGTATCGTTTTTTTATTTACGTAATTTTAATTTAAAAAATATTGTAGAATGAGCGTGCGTTGCATTTTACCGCGCCTGCTGGAGCTGCACGTGCGACTTTTCAGCGCGGCTGCTGTAGCAAACACTGCACGCCGCGCCAAACCAGACGATGGACGCGCGCCAAATCCGTTTTTTATCATGCGACGCGTTGGGCGCGTGTTGGAGATGCTCTAAAACGTGTTTGGCCTCGTGCTCTGCCCGCCGTGTGCCGTGTGGACTAACTCAGCAGAGAAACAGATAAGCACGAGCCTGCCAGTTCTCATCAGAGAAACATGCATTGCGGAGCATCCACGAGTGTAGGGGGTACGTGTCGACTGCGCTGGCACACCCACAAAAAACAAAAAGACTACGCCGGCGCACAGCCGACACGACATCCACAAGCGCACGGCGAGTCGACGAGTCCCGGTGCGCGGCGAGAGGACACCGGAGGAGTGGTGGCTGGATGAATCTCCACCCGTGACCCGGCGAAGCAATCTGTGGACGGGACGCTTCCTTGACCCGCTTTCGCTCGCTCGTCGGCCGTCGACTCCGTCTGCTGGACCCACGTAAAAACAAGAGGTTTTTGACCATGCGGCAGCGCTTTGTGTTGACGATCCATTCGAGCAGTAGTACGCCTGCAGTGACGCTGCGCTTTCCGCGTCGACCCCAGCCCTTCCGCGGTGGAAGATTCACCGTGCGGCGCCGTGGCGCGCAAGCTCTGAGTCCACGCTGGACTCCCTTTCCTCCGTCCGAGTCACGGCCACGCGACGTGCTGCTAGTTTACTGTTCGTGTGGCCTATTTTTCCTCCGAATTTGCCGATCCATCTGATTCTAATTCTAAGTCCAACCTAATTTTTCCTTTAAATCGTCAATCATTATCTTTTTTTTTCGGGTGAACCCATCATTATCACGTAGCAATGGGGAGCAGAAGTATGAGCGGACAAAACAGAGGAGCGGCGCCAAGCGGGATACTGTTTGTGTATCAACGAATTCGATTGCATCAGTGATTATGTTGCAAAACAGTACTCTTTGCACTAATAATTTACAAGTGCATGACACTAATTGGCCAGAAACTAAACTCTTCAAAAACTGGTAATGCCTAACGACTGGATCAGCCTCATATGCTTCTCCTGCGTCGAGGAAGCTCCTGCTGTGCTCTACGTCAACGGCAATGTCGGGAAAGCCCGACTCTGCATCTAGTACTGATTCTTCTTCACTTGTGATCGCGATAATGCCTGCGATGATGCCAGTCGTCTCCTTGGCCGGCACGGCGTCTGCGTCCGCTGCTTCGGTTGGTGCGGAGAGCACGTCGATCCAGCCCTCGTCGGAGTCCCAGTCCGGGAGCGCCGAGGCAGGGCAGGCCAATGCTCCGATCCTCCTCTCGGCCGTGCTGTCGTGCTCCGCCTCCTCGGTGTCTGACTCCGACCCCCAGAATGCCGCGTCCAGCGTGCTCTTGGGCGACACCCATTTGCTTTTGCTCTCCACGGCTTGTGGCTTCGCGCCGTCAACGGCGGCGGCCAAGAACGGATGCTTCAACAGCTGCTCCGCCGTGCACCGGCCGCTGGCCTGCCTGATCAGGCAGCCGCGCAGGAAGTCCTTTGCCTCAGCGGACATCCACTCGGGCACCTCGGGCACGGCCTCCGTGTACCCGATCCGGTGCAGCGCGGCGAGCGCGTTGCCGTCCATGCCGGTCCACGGGGCGCGGCCTGTGGCCATCTCGACGACCGTGCAGCCGAGCGCCCAGACGTCGGCCGCGGGGCCCTGCTCCTCGCCGCGCGCCACCTCCGGCGCCATGAACGCCGGCGTGCCGCCGATGATCGGACCATCGGCGGCCGCTTTCTTAGAGCACCCGAAGTCCGCGAGCTTGGCGCGGCCGTCGGCGCCGATCACCACGTTCCTGCCCTTGACGTCCCCGTGCACCATCCCGGCGCCGTGAACGTACGCGAGCCCGGCCGCCACGTCAGCGGCGTACCCGCGGACGGCGCACTCGTCGAGCCCCCCGTTGCTGGCCACCCGGTCCGCCAGCGAGCCGCCGGGGGCGAACTCGAGGAAGAGCTGGTAGGAGCCGTCGCGGGCGTCGCGGCCGCCGATGCAGGAGACGACGCGCGGGGAGCGCAGGCAGGACATGAGGCCCTCCTCCCTCTTAAGAGCCGAGGCGCACGCCGCCGTCGCGGACTTGACCGCGAAGAGCTGGCCCGACACATCGTCCGCGGCGAGGAAGACCTCAGCCCCCGAGCCGCCGCGGCCGAGCGTGCGCAGCCGCGTCCATTGCTTGCCCACGGCCATCGCTCTGCGTTGCGAATTGGGATCGGGATGGGGTTGTTTCTGTTGGCACTCTGTTGTCGAGCTTGCTTGTGAATTGTTGATGGGTTCCTTCTTTTTGTGGCGGGTGCGCGTATATATAGGTTTAGGGGTAGGAGAGAAGAAAAGTTTGGAACATGGCGAAAGTGTTTGGCGTGTGGGGGGACGGGTTAGGAAAGGAAATCCAGAAGCGAAAAGGCGTGGGAAGCAAGCTGTTTAGGCTCTCGGCACGCGCTCGCGGCGGCGGCGTCCTCCTGTGACTGTGGGTGGGAACGCGCGGTCCGGGCATGACCTGACCAAGCTTCGCGCTCAGCCTCTTCTTGCCCCGCGTCTCATAATCTCGTGTCCGAACAGGAAAACCATTAAACCGTGTCAAATCTCTCGCATCCCGGGTCGACTTCCGCCCGGATTTTCTATCTAATGGCGCGTGTGTTTTGAGCTCAGCCGAGGAAATTTGCTACTACTAACATGGAGTAGTTGTCAAAGTCTTGGTCGCTCGTAGCGAGACGGGGCGTGTGAAACAGAGCAGAGTCTGCGTATGTAAACGAATCGTGGGTGGAAGTCAGCGGGTGCACCTGAACTCAAGGGGGCGGAGTTGGGCACTTCGGTCTCCTCGGCTGGTCGTTTGCCATTGTGGCGTACCAAGTCCACCGCCGCGGTGCACTGCACCGGACAGCTTTGTGTGCGCCTGCCCCCAACATCTACATCTAGAACCAAGACCGACGGAAATATACTCCTGAACGCGGCAGCAACAGTCATTTCTGAAACATTGTAAGCGACGTCCCGACCCCAGTTTTCTTTACCCCGGAGGAAGAATTCACAGCTGGTTACAGGCGTGATTCCTCGAATTCCATAGCTGGTGACGATTCACCGGGAAAGTTCCCTTTCATCACCGGGAAAGAGTAAAAAGCTCGTCGTGGACGGCCTTGAACGCGGGTGGCTCCTCGACGTACCAGAGAGAGAGAAATCCGAGCAAATATCTCCCGCGCGTCTCCTCGTCCGCGGCATCGCATGCGCCGTTCCCCACATCAGAATAGGATGGCCTGAAATTGGAAGAAATATTCCATTCCCAGTGCATATGCAGCCACGTCCTCGACGCCGATGCTACACAACACACGCAATGTCCACGACACTCGGGTGCGGCTGCGAAATCGCATCCGACGTGTCGTTGCAGTGTCCGGCCACGTCGAGCCAGCCCAGCCGTGAACAAGTGGCGTTTGTTGTGCTTCGTGACGGTCGACTGGCTGTTGGCCCATGCCGATGCGGCGACCGAAAGCCGGGCGTGGCGTCGTGGACGCGCCTACTTTCGCCGTTTTGCGGTGTGGGGCGGCAGATCATCACGCGAGTCCGATGCGTTGCTTCGCTTTGTTGGCCAGCGTCGCCGCTCACTCGTCCTCCACCAGCCGCCACTGCCAACACTAGACGCTCCTCTGGTGCATGCCGCCATTGGATTGTTTGATTCTACTTCACTTAACCGCCCAGCCAAGCCAAGTAACTCTAGCATGCCTTGGCCGCAGTGGCGTAGCCAGGATTTTCGGTCAAGATGGTACAATTGATATATACAATATTTATACTAAAAAATATATAACATAGCAATATATGTAGCGGAGGCGGAGCTATATGTGTTAAGATGAGGGGGCCAATACCCCTCTTCCCCCAGCTTTAAACTTATTTTTGAAAAAATAAAATGAAAATACTTGGATAGGAGATTTTATAGCCTTCACCCCCTGCCCTCAAAAAAATGTTGACTTCAGTGCTGGCCTCTATTTGGACATTGTTCAATTCTTCGGTTCGTCCCAGCCCCAAAAACTTTCCATGTTGGTTTCTTAGCCAATAACGGGCGGCAGAATCCTCTTCCAATTATTTGACGCACCAATATTGACATATAGCGAGCACATGAAGGATCCAAACTGACATGTCATCTTGCTCCGCCATTGCATGCTAGTATAGAATTTATCAATAGAATGTATGTGTAAGTTTGATTTTTGCAACAATTCTACAATAAAAAAACCTCATAGTTAAACCTTGAAGGCAAAATCAAACTTTGAATTGAAGATGGAAATCATATTTTAAATTGGAAAGGTGTGAAGTCGGCGGAGTTCTTGCCTTGGTGTTTAGCTCTACCCAGTGCATGCATTACTAGCCATCCGCTTCGCTGGCACTCCGCCGCCTTATGCCTACCTGGCGCAATGCGTCATCGGCTTCTGTCACGCTGAACACTAGGGTTCGCCGTCGTGGTGTGGTCTGTTGGAGACTTCGGGTGATCAAGTCCATCCTCTAGCGTACAAAAAAACTGCTTTAAGTATACGAGGGAATGTTTCTTGGGTAAAGCGTACAACGAAAACGTAGGAAGGAACGAGTGAGCTAGTTATCAGATTCATAGTTTTTGGACCTATACCTTTGATGTGCACTGTGGCCTAATTTTTTTTTTACAAATATACTAAAGTACCGGGCCGATGTACAGGATGGTCCTTGGACCACCCTGTCCACCCTTCAGCTACGCCATTGCTTGGCTGCCCAGTTTTCTCCATCAGTAGAAGAATGAAACCCACACCACACTATAGAAGGTAAACCTTCCAAAAAGAAAAACCACAGAGTCTATGGCCCTGTTTGGATTCATGGGTTAGAGTTAGTTTGAGCTAGTTTAGGCTCAAATAGCCCTAATTATTCAAAGATAGGACTAGTTTGAGCTAGTTTCATCTAACCCACCCAAAAAGCTATGCCACCTAAAAGATGCTAATTGAAGCTAGTTCTTCTAGTGTATTTATTATTAATCTAACCTTGTTATCCATACACCTATTTAGCTAGAGTTAGTTTAATAGGGTTAGTCTTAAGCTGAAAACTAACTCTAACATCTAGCTAAGTTAGAGTATCCACAGCCTATGATGATGCACTTGAAACTCGAAATAATTTCACTAGAGAGGCTGCCGAGCTGTGGTGGCAAACTGCCAGTCGGTTGCAGAAACTAACGTAGACGCGTCAGATCTGGCTGACTGACGACGCGAAAAGGAGCGGCGGCAGCGTTCTTCCCACGGCTGCTGCACATGAACTCGATGTCCAGATGTGCACCCCAAGTCACACAGCCACGTAAGTCAACCTTCACCGTAGTTGTACTTTAACTTAATTCCCTTGTCAGCAATTGTATATTCCTCGCAAAAAAGAAAACTTATGATCGCACAAGTAAATCATCACTAATTAATTTAGTACTACCCTGCAGTGTTCCAGTGCCGACTGCCGGCGGCCATGTACTAACACTATTTAATTCGACATTCGATTTGTTAATGATAATCTTTCTTTCTGGCGCCGATTCTTTCTTTTCGTTGGAAAAGGAAGCCTAACTGTGAAGGAGGTGGCGGCCCTTTGACCTTACTGAACGCCGGTATGATATGCGCCGATCGAAATGATATTGGGCAGATATGAAAGCGACGGACATGATCACACTAAGGGAGCGTTCGGAATCCCTCCACTCCCGAGTCAGCTCGCGGAGCCGGCGGAGCTGCAGGCTGAAAAGGTAAAGCTGGGATATACGCGCTCCGCAGATCCGCGGAGCTGGCGGAAGGCCGAACAGGCCCTAACTCGATATGTATGAGCCGTCTGCTGCAGATAAGTTTGAGTTAGATGAAGCGGCCAAGCCAACTTCTACTTGAAGTGACACTGAGCTGGATGCAACATCCAGCAACTGTTGCCTGCGTGCGTGCAAAGAACATTCAGCTAAACTCATTCGGAGCCACATACATCGAACCTTCAGAAGAAGAATTGTTCCGTCGTCTTGGACAGTACTACAAAAATGGACGTAAATTGTGCGCAGTTGAAAGAAAAAGGTCCGCCGGCTCGAAAAGTCCATTCTGCACCCGAGCTCATATGCTCCCGCATGAACAGTAAAATCGAAAAAATATTGAAAAAAATTTAAAAAATTCCAATTTTTTTTGAGAGAAATATTGACAAAAGTTCTAAGTGCCTGCAAAAATTCATCATGAAATCACATTCCTGTAAGGCGTGGCAAAAAAAACAAATTCAGTGCTTCAAAATGCATTTGAAAGTAGCTTTTTCAGAGTACTATTTTTGTTTTTTTGCCACGCCTTCTAGGAATGTGATTTCATGATGAATTTTTGCAGGCACTTAGAACTTTTGTCAATGTTTCTCTCAAAAAAATTTGATTTTTTTTGATTTTTTTTGATTTTTTTTCGATTTTACTGTTCATGCGGGAGCATATGAGCTCGGGTGCAGATTAGCCGCGTCCCCTGCCTGCTTCGCTTTCTTTGCTTTGTGTTCCAGCGAACATAGTCAACGTCCAAACTACTCTTTCTATAGGAAAGGTAATCAACGTCCTCTCAAAATTGGCCAGGTACAGTGGAAAGGGCACCTGAATTTGATCTCGAGGCAGCTAGCCCACATCGTTGACATTTAATTTGAAGCTCTGCGGGTAGCTTAGGGCCTGTTTGGTTCATAAGTTCTAGTACTTTTTCTAGTCCAACTAAAAAATCTCTAGTCCCTAAAAAGTCTCTCCCTGTTTGTTTCCAGAGACTAAAAAGTCTCTAGTCCCTTCCTAGAGGTTATTAAATGACCATGTTGCCCCTAATATATAGGAAAAAAACAATCAAACAACACCATGGGATGACGGGCCATTGAATGCATGGAGAGACATTGTTGGAAAAGTCTCAAAAAGTCTCAAAAAAGACTCTCCTTGAGAGTTTTCTTCATTTAGTCCCAAATACCTAGTTTAGTCCCTAAAAAGTCCCTCCCGTTTGGTAAAAAAAAATCTCTAAAAGGGACTTTTTCTAGTCCCTACACAAAAAAGTCTCTGGAAACAAACACCCCCTTAACCCGGGAAGAGGTTGACCAGCTGAAGGGGCGGAGCCTTTAAAGGAGTAGTTATAATTGTGTGTCCATCAATTATAATTGCGAGTCCATCACTAGTTATAATTGTGTTGCCATCGGTATGACTGCAGAAATCATCTAATGGGATGGAAATGCGGTATGTAAGA